ATTGAGACCCTAAATCCATCTCCTATTAATTTCGTCGGATTCAGATCGGATTCGGATCAAAATCCAATCTATTGACAGCCCTAAACCATGCAGGAGGCTGGTCTTTAGCAAAAAAACGCTCAGACAAGGATACTACTGACCCACATTGAAAAAGGATGCGCAGTAGTTCGTCAAAAAATGCGATAAATGTCAGGGTTTTGCCACAATCCAGATCAACCCTCACAGGAGTTAAACGTAGTGTCTAGCCATTGGCCGTTTGCTAAGTGGGGGGTCGACCTAATCGGGCCCCTACCCAAAGGAAAATGAAGTGCCAGCTTCGTGATTGTTGCAATTGATTACTTCACAAAGTGGGTAAAGGCCGAACCTCTCGCAAAAATAACCGAGGTAAATACTTTTAAGTTTTTCTGGAAAAACATCATCTGCAGGTTCGGAATTTCCCATTCGATCGTAACAGATAATGGTAAACAATTCGATAACAAGAAAGTCAGGGAAATGTACGAAGAGTTGGGCATCATAAAGCATTTCTCTTCCCCACACCATCCCCAGGCTAATGGGCAAGTTGAAGCTGTGAATAAAACCATCAAGTACACCCTGAAAATGAAGCTTGATGCATCAAAGGGGGCATGGGTAGTGGAATTTCCCCAAGTGCTTTAGGCAATCAGAACCACAAGTCGAACTGCAATAAGAGAAACCCATTTCTCTATGACATACGGGGCAAAGGCTATGAGCCCAGTCGAAATAGGTTTTCCATCACCAAGGCGAATGCATTACAACTAAACGACCAATGTTGGGCGGATGCTTCGTATTGAACCTCCTTGAAGAAATGAGGGATGATTCTCAGTTCAAGATGGTCATGTATCAACGAAAGATGACCAGATACTATAATTCAAAAGTAAAGAAGAAGACATTCAGGTTGAATGAATTAGTGCTTCGAAGGGTGTTCCCACCTTTGAAGGAACATGGGTCAGGGACCCTTGGCCCGAACTGGGAAGGTCCTTATCATATATGTGATGAGATTTGACCAGGAACATATAGAATCAAAGGTATGGATGGAAATGTACAACCTCATCCTTGGAACGTGGAACACTTACGTAGGTACTACCAATAATGTAAGACATCTTGTATGAATCATTTTTAAGTTCAATAAAAAAGCAGTGCTTGTTATTCTAAAATTATGGGTCGATTATCTCAACAAGGCTAAGAGCCTCGGTTCATCCTACGAAGGCTAAGAGCCTGGGATTTATTTTTCCATAAAGGCTAAGAACCTCGAGTTCGTTTCAACAAGGCTAAGAGCCTCTACTTATTCTACAAAGGCTAAGAGCCTGTAGTCCAACTTTTTACAAAGGCTAAGAGCCTCAAAGTCGTTTCAATAAGGCTAAGAGCCTCGACTTATCTAAGTTTTATGAAGGCTAAGAGTCTCGACTTATTTAATGTTTTATGAAAGTTAAGAGCCACGAGTTTGTTTCTACAAAGCTAAGAGCCTCGACTTATTCTACAAGGGCTAGGAGCCTGGACTTATTAAGGGCAGAATTATTAAGTAATGGCAGGGTCAAATCCAATTGAACAGTTACGTTAGAATCACGCACTCAAGTAGAAGGTCAAACAAAACTAGAATAAACAAAATAGAATTTCATTCGATAAACTTACAATGGATAGGCCGAAGCCATTACACTTGACAAAAAATTGCTGCAATTATCAAAAACCTATGGGGGTGGGGGTTGAGGAGCCATAAACGGAACTATAGCATGTTCATCCGTGTTCTCCTCATCAAGTTCAATCACTTGAGGTTCTTCTGCAAGAGTTTGAGGCTCCTCCTCTCCCACATCATCACCAAGGAACTTAGCCCTCAAATCAGAAGAATCGAAGCCTTGAGCATGCTCTTCCAGCCATTCAACAACTTCATTATAGGCGTACCGCCTCTAATATATGCCAAAGCGTTAGTAGGGCTCCGTCAGATGAAAGTTGGCCAAAAAAATTTTCTCTACGTCTTTGCTTGCCGCCTCAGCATTGCTTCTGACACTCTCAACCTCTTCAATGAAGCCAGCAACTTGGGAGGTTAATTCCACCACTTTCCCCTTCAGCATGGAGTTCTCCTCATTTGCCTTCCCTAAGGCTTCAGTAGTCAATTTCTGATGTGCATCAGAGGTCTCAACTCGTTTAGTCATCGAAGCCACCTCTCTCTGGCACAAATGGACATCCTTCCTTAAAGATTCAATCTTTGTTAAGGCAGAGGCTAACTTCGTGGACTCCTCATCCATCTCTTTCCTTAAAGCCTCAACCTCCGTTCTGGCCTTAGCAGCTTCCTCCTCGGCTATGGTGGCCTTGCTGGCAAATCCTCGATTTTCACTTTGAAGGCTTTTGAAGATGGCTTCAGCATCTTCGCCATGCCAAAAGATCTCTCCACTTGGGCCACCATAGTCTCGAAGACTTCCACTACGTCATTCTGCTCAATATAATTCTACCATTTATCCGTCCAATACTTATGGAATGTGGAGGTGGCTATCTGGATCTCCGGAAGAAGAAGAGTGAGGGCCTCAGATGCCAGCTCGTCGGTACGAGTGGCCAAAACTGCTTTCTTTTTTGGGGCCTCAGAGCTTGTGGAGTCGCATCAGCCTTGTTTTCTTCGAGGGGACTTGCCCCAGAGGTTCCACGGCGGCTGTCCTTTTGTGGCTCTCTGTGGCAATAACCATCGAACTGGCCAGCAGTTTGCTCCCGGCAGGGACTTCAGAGCGAGAAGGAGGAACATCATTTGAGCCACCCGCCCCACTGGGCGTCGAAATTCTGAACCTTTTCTTTGGCTCCTCCTCCACCACCTTTTTTTCCCATGTCCTTGGGAAGTAGATTTTCTTCTTGAGAGCCAGCCTCCTTGCTGACCCTCTCGATTTTATCCCTCGTCTACTTTCCTCCAACAGATGAGGGCTTCATCCCTCGTCCAGTAGTGGACGTGGCAGCAAGGATGGTGGCCATGTCTGGGGTGGGAGGTTTCCTTTTATTAAAATTCTCTACAAAGCCAATAAAAGGACAAAATCAGCACAACACGCGTAAATGACAAAATTATACAACCATTAAAGTATTTAGGCGAATTCTACCTCTCTTCGCCATCAATCCGAAGTCCTCAAAAAATCGAGTCAGCTGGACTAAACGAGCAAAGTCACGAGCGGAGGATGATTTCTTGTACACTTCAGACAAAGTATCCCAATCACTCTGTGTGAATTGAAAACGCTCAACCGAACCTGCACAACCACAAAAAGGGTAAGTATCAAACCTTATTGGTTCAGAAAAGATAAACACAAGGAAAACACTCACGAGCATCGGAATATAAAGTTGGGACTTTAACATGGGGAACAAAATCACTCTCACACTCCTGCAACCTCCCCCTCACCCAGAACCAAGTCTCCTTCCACCCCTTGATGGAAGTTGGCAAACCTACCACGACGGGGGAATGTGATCCTCAGGGACACAACGAATGCCACTCCCTAAAGTCCCATTTTCCTAAAGATCTGGGTTGGTAGACCGTTTGGAAGACATGCAGAGGCATATCCTCGCCTAGAGATGCATCCTTCCAAAGGAAGTAAGAGCCCACTAGTTGGGCCTAGGCGATGGGTACGAACTGGGTAGTGGCTATCCCATATAATCTGAGGACGGCCCGAAAGAAAGGGTGGATCGGTAAATGAAGTCCCGTTTTCAACAAGAACTCACTTACGGAAACACATCCTTGCCTAGGATAACAGGCTCGCTCTTTCACAGAAGGGGAAAGGAGTTCGATGTCATAAGGAATCCTGTATTTTTCCTTAAGGCTCAATAAGTAGGTCGGATCTATAGAGAATCGAATTTCGGACGCCCCCCAATCTATCTCGTCGCTACCACCATCATCCCCAAAAACCGAAATACCCCGCCCACCTTCTACAGCTCTGACTAGGTAGTGGTGTTGGTTATTCGAAAACCCAACTCATGAGCTTTCTCACTAACATTCACTTGTTCTCTCGATGATTTGGATATAGCCATCAACTTTGCAAATAAGAAGAAAGTTAAGATACTTACGAATTTCCCAAAGAAAATAAGAAGAGAAAGAAAGGAGAACTCTTGGAGAAATTCTGAGAAGAAAGCTAAATGATTCAGGAACTTGAAAAGGAAGAATGCGAGAGTACGTGCAAAAAGTGGAAAGAAATTCCCCCAAAGGTTCTCTACCTTTTATAGGCAAACCCGCTCAACCCTGGCCGTTGGATCTCGATCCGAACCATCCAACCATGGATCAATAAATTTGTAATCCAAGCCACCACAACGTCTGACGTTTGGTCTTCAAAGGCCCAGATCTGAACGTGGCTCATACGCACCCTCACGCGTCTGAAATCTTGTTGAAGAACGTGGGAAACATTCAGCATTGCTCATTTAATGCGGCGGCTATTGCGTGTGTTATAAATTGAAATGACCTCAGCTGTTTTCTTGGGAAGGTACCACAACATCAAATCATTGAGGCTCCATGATCAAAATGCCTTGTAAATCTCAGAGTTATTGGGAAAATAACAAATCCTCGTAACCTTCAATTCGAGGCTGATCATAGTTTCATACCTCATTGAAATCCAAATTTATGGATGCACTTTAAACAAAGGAGAGAGTTTCAGTCTTTTAAGAACATTTGAAGAAAGGGATCTCGTCAACAAAGCTCTAAGAGAGCATATATGTTTTCCAAAGCTCTAAGAGAGCATTCTTCTTTCTGAAACTCTAAGAGAGCACGAAGCTCTAAGAGTGCATCTATTTTCCTAAGCTCTAAGAGAGCATATTCTTTCTGAAGCTCGAAGAGAGTACGAAGCTCTAAGAGAACACAAAACTCTAAGAGAGCATCTTCTTTCTGAAAGCTCTAAAAGAGCACGAAACTCTGAGAGAGCATCCTACTTTCTGAAGCTTTAAGAGAGCATCCCGGTCGTCGAAACTCTAAGAGAGCATCTTCTTTCTGAAAGCTAAAGAGCACGAAGCTCTAAGAGAGCATCCTACTTTCTGAAACTTTAAGAAAGCATCCCGATCATTAGCCACTCTCTGTATAGAAAAATAGGACGATGGATTGATGTAAAGAATAGACAAACACATATACAAACATTTGAATTCTTACTGAAAAAGAGGAACTCATCTAGTCATCATATATATCCTTCCACATATTTCATTATCATTTTTCGTTCAAAGGAGATCATTGATAGTGAGATTGTCCTAGAATCATATCGCCGAAACCTTAACATTTTTGAAAGTGTCTCCCACGTTCACTACAGTTGGATTACCGTTCCTATTCCGGTAAAAACGTGTTGGAATTGTACTTGACGTGACAAGATAGGCCCGGTATCTATTGAGTTTATTTTTTGGGGTCAACATGACATAAATTTTTTATTTGTAATCGATGAACAAATTGTGACCTATAACATTTTTGAATTGTAACTATAAAATAATTTGTGACGTATAAAATTTGTGATTCATGATCAATGAATAATATATGACTTATTAATTTGATAGATTTTTTACCGATGAATAAATTGTGATATATAAATTTTTGATTTGTGATCGATGAACAAATTGTGACCTATAAATTTTTTGAATTGTGACTATAAAATAATTTGTGACATATTAAAATTGTGATTTGTGACCTATTAATAATATGTGACCAATTATATGAAATTTGTGATTAAATTATANAATAATATGTGACCAATTATATGAAATTTGTGACCAAATTATATGGAATTGTAACCTTAATATATTTACTTAATAAAATATATATTTAATTTATTTATTTATAAATAAAATTTGAAATTTAAAATTTTAAACATTAGTCTATTAAATTTGAAATTGGTGAAACTTAACCTCTTAGTCATGCAATCTTTCCAAATTACAATCACACCTACTTTTCGACTTTATAATTCAAAAATAAAGTGTTAAGGTTTTTTATTTAAAAAAATAATGTGCATCACATCCCCATCCACCCACTCATCAACCACAAACCTTATTTATTATTTTACCCATTTTTCAAGTCACGATCACACCCACACCACCACAATTGCCACCCATCACCACCACGTAAGCTATCCTGCCGTTCTGTTTCTTGGCCTTGACAAATGCCTCTACACTCAACTTCTTGGCAGAATCCTTGTGGGTGACCTTGCTAGGGTACTTGACAATACTGGTGAACAAGTAATGGCCATCATTGCGGCCGCGAACATCGTCGTCAAAATTTTTCACAATGGTGGCTTTAAGGGCGCTATCCGCACCTACGGAAGACCACCGCCTTAATCGATTTCAAAAACTTACCATTCTTGTTGAGTTGTGTGTTTGTAACAGCACTATGCCCAAAGGTTACGGGTGTCGTTGTCTATGTTCTTCGATGATGGCTTTGTGGCGAGCGAAATGCCCCCTGTAGGAGGACCACCGCCTTGTTTGATTTCAAAATCTTTACCATTTTTGTTGAGCTGTGTGTTTGTAGCACCGCCTACGGCTAGTCAACGCTATAGAGGAAAGGAAGGAAATAAGCGTTTGAGTTAGGATTTGGGGATGAGGCCTTTAGTATAATTTGTGAGATTGCAAGGCTTTGCTTGCAATTTTAGATCGGGTCAGTTTGCAAATGATGGTGGTCGTTGATGACAGTGGCATCGATGGTGGTTGAGTGGGATGAGATGACCAATTATTTGAGTAACTGGGACCAACAAAATGAATAATTTTTACCAATAAATAATATGTGACCGATACTCCGATAGTGTAACGACCCGGGTCCCAC